ACTAACCAGTTGTTAAATCACTTGTAGCCTGAAATTGGCCATAATAGGATTTTTCTTTTCCTTCTTGGGTGTGGAAGCCAGTTTATCCGCATTTCTCTGGCAAAGGCCAGTGTTTCTCTGTAAACCTGGAGCCCTAATGTTCAACGCATCCCTGAGTTATCAGATTGTTAACTAGCTCACACCCTTCCCAATTTTACAGGATATTGATTTTGATTTAAAAGAAAACACATTATCAGGCGCAGTGACACACACCTGTAATCAGCAATTTGGGAGGCTAAGGCAGAGGATCGAAGCTCAAGGCCAGCCTCAGCAACTGAGTGAGACCCTGTCTCAAAAAATAAAAAGGGCTGGAGACATGGCTCTGTGGTAATGCCCCTGGGTTAAATCCCTGGTACCAAAAACAAACAAACAAACAAAAAACCCCACACTTTGTAATACGGGGTCTGGCGGGTAGCTAAGTGGTCTAGTGCAATTGAGACCCTGGGTTCAATCTTCAGCACCAAAAGAAGAAAAACAAAACCACTGTAGGATGGGAGAAGGGGAGGGGGGAAGAGGCTGTATCTTTTCTGTCATGTCAGATACATTGATTCATTCTGAGTCCATTGAAGTCATTGATTCATTATGAGTTGATTGATTATGAGTTGGTAAGCATGGATAAGTAAGGTCTGAATAGATGTCTTTCTTAGGTTACAGAAAAACCTATGCTTCTTTCAAGCACATTTTTCTAATACTTAAACATCCTTATTTTCCATAAAACAGTATTGTATGCATTTCTGATAAATTCTTACTCCTTAGCTCTTTCTCAATATCAAGCTCTCATTGGCTCTCATTAACCTCTGCATAATACTTCAATGTGCAGATTAGCTGATTAGTAGATACTTTGGGTTGGCAGCTTCCCCAAAGGGCTTGATATCTCATCAGTAGGAGCTGGGGATGCACTTACCTAGTACGTGTAAGGCCCTGAGTTAGAATTTCATCAGTAATCTGCTACTGAATATAATTTAGGGTGGACATTTTGGGGGAAAATAAAGATACCAGCCAATCTTGTCTTTATTTGTGGGTTTATCTTTTTTGTGTGACATACTGGGTATTGGACCTAGGCCTTAAGCATTTTATGCAAATGCCATACCCCTGAGCTACATCCCCAGCCCCATTCCCTCCCCTCAGCCACCCTCCTAACTCAGGTACTGATGATTGAACCCAGGAGTGCTCTTATCACTGACCTCTGACCCAACCATTTTTTATTTTGAAACAGGGTCTAACTAACTAAAGTGTCTAGGCTGGCTTTTAACTTGCAATCCTTCTGCTCTGAGTTGCTGGGATTACAGGCATGCGCCACTGTGCCTGTCATCCCCAGCCCTGTTTACAAATTTTATTTTGAGCCAGGGTGCTAAATTGTCCAGAGTGGCCTCAAACTTGTGATTCTTTTTGTTTCAGCCTCCCAAATTCTGAGATTACAAACACACCACTGCATTGGCTATCTATGGATTATTATTATTATTATTTATTATTGTTATTATTAATTTTTCAGTGCTGGGAATGGAACCCAGGGCTGCAACCATGTTAGGCAAGGGTTCTACCAATAAGTTCACCCCTGCTTATTTGTGGGTTCTTGACAGAGACCCTGGTTCTCTCTAAGTTGGGTACATATTTTTTCTTCTTTGCCTCAGTTATCTCCAGCCTATAGTTTGGTTTTGTCTGTTTTTGGTTTGGTTGTTTGTTTTTTCAGGACTTAGCCCTTATTTATCTCTGTTCTATTGATAATCATGAACCCTTGGGTTCAGTTTTGGCTAGATCTAGGGCAACATGAGGACACTGGATTACTAAATTGTTTGGCCTAATTCACTTTGCACATTTAATTTGAAATATATTTTTCTCCAAATACTATATAATTGCTGAAATGGTTCAGATATTGGGATTTTTGTCTACCTTTACAAGAAAACTTTCCATGTTTTAGCTTCTCTTCACACTTCCATTCTAAGCTGTTAAAATTCACAGGATTTAAGGATATAGCCTTCATCTCATGGCTTTTGGCACCTTTGTACTCCTGTTGTCCTGGCTACATCGGGTATCTTCAATCCACACATTCCTCTAAAGAATTAGCCATCATTGAATTTCTTTTCTTTTTTTTTTAATTTTTTATTGTTGGTTGTTTAAAACATTACATGTTTCTTGATATATCATATTTCACACTCTGATTCAAGTGGGCCATCATTGAATTTCAACCATTAGCAGTTCTTGGGCTGACGGTGTAGTTAGGTGGTAGAGCTCAGTGGCAGAGAGCATGCTTAGTGTGTAGGAAGCCCTGTGTCCAATCCACAGCACAAAAGAAAGAGATTTTTGGCTAATTGTTTCATTTATATACTCCTATCCTCTTAATCCTTCTCCTTATTATTTTTAAACAAATTCTTTCAGATACATCATTTCATCCAAAATTTTAAAATAAAACTATATGAGTGAGAACTTTTTAAGCCAGATATGGTGGTGTGTACCTGTAATCCCAGGTACTTGGGAGAATGAGGCCAAAGGATCGCTTGAGGAGTTTGAGGCCAGCCTGGGCAATGTAGCAAGACCCCATCTCTTTAAAAAAAAAAAAAAAAAAAAAAAAAAAAAAAATATATATATATATATATATATACACACACACACACACACACTTTTAAAGAATCACAAATACCGTCTGTCATATGCATTAAAAAATTAACTTGATGGGGCTGTTACTCAGTGGTAGAGTGAATGTTTAGCATGCACAAGAGCCTGGGTTCAAGCTCCACATCCAAAAAAACAAATAATAATTTCTTACTATCATGAATATCCTGTTTGTTTTGTTTTGGTACCAGGGATTGAACTCAGGGGCACTGAGCCACATCCCCAGCCCTATTTTGTATATTATTTAGAGACAGGGTCTCACTGAGTTGCTTAGCACCTTGATTTTGCTGAGGCTGGTTTTGAACTCGAAATCTTCCTGCCTCAACCTCCTGAATCACTGGGATTAAAGTTGTGTGCCATTGCGCCTGACTCAATATCCTGTTGATGTTCAGTTTTTCAATTGTCATATTGAAAAAATGTCATAGAATGTCTTTTTTTTTTTTTGGTACGAGGGATAAATCCAATGGTGCTTAACCATTGAGCCATATCCCTAACCCTTTTTATTTTTCCTTTTGAGACAGAGTCTCACTAGGTTGCTTATAGCCTCACAGAGTTGCCGAGGCTGGCTTCAAACCTGCCATTCTCTTCTCCAGCCTCCCAAGCTGCAAGAATTATAGGTGTGCATTACCACACTTGCTTAGAATGTCATATATTTTTTAAATTTTTTTTTAGTTGTCAATGAACCTTTATTTTATTTATTTATATGTGGTGCTGAGAATCGAACCCAGGGCCTCATGCTAGGCAAGCACTCTACCACTGAACCACAACCCCAGCCCAGAATGTTATATTTTATATATTTATTTATTTTTGATTTTTTTTTTTAGAATTTTTTAATATTTATTTTTTTTAGTTTTCGGCGGACACAACATCTTTGTTTGTATGTGGTGCTGAGGATCGAACCCGGGCCGCACGCATGCCAGGCGAGCGCGCTACCACTTGAGCCACATCCCCAGCCCATGTTATATATATATATATATTTTTTTTTTTTTTTTAAAGCGAGAGAGAGAGAGAGAGAATTTTTAATATTTATTTTTTAGTTCTCGGTGTACACAACATCTTTGTTTGTATATGGTGCTGAGGATTGAACCCGGGCCACACGCATGCCAGGCAAGCACCCTACCGCTTGAGCCACATCTCCAGCCCCCCGTGTTATATTTTTAAAGTTGGTTTGAATCAGCATCCAGATAAGTTCTATATAGTAAATTGTTGGTGTGTTTTTAAATATCTTTTAATTCTTCTTCTTCTTCTTTTTTTTTTTTTTAAATCTTTATTTATTTATTTTTATGTGGTTGCCGAGGATCGAACCCAGTGCCTCACACATGTGAGGCTGGCTCTCTACCACTGAGCTACAGCCCCAGCCCCTTAATTCTTCTTCACATCTATCTTATGTAATTTATTTGTGTAAGAATCTGATTTTGTTTGTCCTGTAGAGTTTCAGTTTCCAATGGCCTGGACTTTGCCAGGTGACAAATGCTATCATTTTACACAATGTTCTATTCTCTGTATTTTCTATAAATTATTAATTAGAGATTTGATCAGAATCAAGTTTGATTTTTTTTTTTTTTGCCAAGACCACATCTTAGGCAGTCTTCCATCAAAAGTCTCATAGTTCTCAATGTTTCTCTGTAATTAAAAAAATTAATTATTTTGCAGTGCTGAGGATTAAACCTATTTAATTAAATATTAAACATGTTAGGCAAATGCTCTACCACTGAGCTACACCCCCAGCCCATCTTTTTGAAATCTTAGCAGCTTTTGATGCTCAATGTCTATTTTTTACCTCTTATTTTTCAGCTATGAAAATGAATGAATTAGCTGGGTGTGGTGTCACGCACCAACTGTTATTCCAGTGACTCAGGAGGCTGAGGTAGGAGAATCACAAGTTTGAGGCCAGCCTCAGCAACTTAGTGAGGCACTCCAACAACTTAGCGAGACCTTGTCTCAAAGTAAAAAAAATAACAATAAAAAATAAGTGCTGGGAATGTAGCTCAGTGGTAAAATGCTTTGGGGTTCAATCCCTAGTACCAGAAAAAAAAAAATGAATGATGAATTTTTTGCACGTGCTTTAACATTCTCCCTTTCTCCTGCCACTGCTAACTATAAATCTTACTTTCTATGTCTATAGCTCTGCCTATTCTGGACATTTCATATAAGTAGAATCATATAATATTGGTCTTTTTGTAGCTGACTTCTTACACTTAGCCTAATGTTTTCAATGTCCATCCATGTGATAGTATGTATGAGAACTTTTTTTTTTTCCCTAGTGATGGAGATTGAGTCCTGGGTGCTATATCACTGAGCTACATTCCCAGTCCTATTTTTTATGTTGAAACAGGATAAGTTTCCCTTGAATTTGTGATTCTCCTGCCTCAGCCTCTTCAGTAGCTGGATTCTAGCTTCATTCATTTTTTACTGCAGAATGACACTCCACTGAACAGGTAGATCACATCTTGTTTTTTCTTTCATCCGTTAGTGGTTACCTTTGTTTGCAAAACTCATCTTCTCACATGAGGTTTCTTTTTCTCTAGAATGAGGATGAGCAGTGGGTTGACGTTCAAGTCAACAAAAGGCAGTTGGATCAGAAACCTCAGGCGGCAGAGCTCATGCAGATCTGTTGAGTTCTTTGTGCCATCAAGTCCTCCTTTGGACCCTGAGAAGGTCAAAGAATTACAGCGCTTCATCACTCTTTCCAAGAAACTCCTCGTGATGACGGGGGCAGGGATCTCAACTGAGTCAGGGATCCCAGACTACAGGTCAGAAAAGGTGGGACTTTATGCCCGCACTGACCAGAGGCCCATCCAGCATGGAGATTTTGTACGGAGTGCTCCAATCCGCCAGCAGTACTGGGCAAGAAACTTTGTGGGCTGGCCTCAGTTCTCATCCCACCAGCCGAACCCTGCACACTGGGCTCTGAGCAACTGGGAGAAACTCGGAAAACTGCATTGGCTAGTGACACAAAATGTGGATGCTTTGCACACCAAGGCCGGGAGTCAGCGCCTGACAGAGCTCCATGGATGCATGCACAGGTAGGTGCAGGAAGCCTAGTTTGAACGTGGCAATGTGTGTTCTGTGAGAGCCAGAACCTTTGTTATCTTAGTTAAGGTTGTATTAGATCCTGAGAAAAAGATTTGGAAGCAAATTGTTTAGTTTAGAGTTGATCCTGGTAAACTCATTCGGGGAATAGGGACACAAAAAAGTGGGGACAAGGAAGGGTGTGTTCAGGGCTGGGGATGTAGCCCAGTGCTAGAGCACTTGCCCAGCATCACGAGGCTCAGGGTTTGATTCCCCAGCACTAGTGGGGGAAATACGTATGGGTTACTACTTTGAACAGATAAGCTCAGTCCTGCCAGGACTCTGTGTCTAGAACATGCTTCAGAATTATCTCTTTGAAAGTGAAGGAAGCTGGGGTGTTTATCCACCATTTCTCATGCCTCCCTGGTCCACAGTTGCTCTTGGGGAATTATTTCCCTACCGCTTTACTCTGCTTCTCTCAAGAAGGCTACCATGGTCATGGAACATTCTATGCAAAAGAGACACAGGAAGCTGCTTATAAGAATATTGTGTCCCTGTGGCTTCCAGGGTGTTCTGGGATGTACATGAGCAGAACCAAAAGTTTATGCTACAAACTGCTGGGTCTCCAGCACATAGACACACAGAACACAGGATAGTTCTGACTACAGTCAGAACTCTAAATAATTATAGGTGGAATGAATACACGGGCAGGGGATTGTACGGACAGCCTTGGCAATGACTTGTAGCTAATTGGAGACTATTTCTTTATCTTTATGTCTCTGAGAGCCTCCTCTGAGAACTAAAATCAGCCTGCCAATCGTGAATTATTTCCTGGGTGCCTGTGTTATGCGTATTGGCATGCCACCTGGTAGTGTGAATAAGAGGTGGTCTACTTTATATGCAGGAATTCTGTTTGGTGGGGGAGACACAAAAATAGCATGTTTAGCAACAAACAACTCAACATGTGTTTGTTAAATTGTGTGGTCCTTGGTATATATGATGTGCACGTTCAGAGAAACAGATGTAGTGAAGATTGGCATAATTGAGAAAGCTTGTATGGGTAAAGTGGGGGCTTGAGACTGATTCAAGTTGGACTTAGGCAAAGGATTCTGGGAAAAAAGGGCTTTCTAAATGAAGGGAGTTCATAGAGCCCAGGGGAGTCAGGCCTGACCTCTATGGAGGGTTTGGGAATGGTGACTAGTGTGAAATCAGATTTTGAGAGGGGCTAGACCCAAATTGGTTGCAATTGAAAATCAGACAGCCTAGTTTGGGTCTGTTGTGACATAAAGGGTTTCTGAGCAAGAGAGCAACAACATGATAAAAATAGCACTGGAGAAAGGCTAGACAGGACTAGAAAGAGTGGGTTAAGGGAGGTCAGCCTGAAGGACCCAGATTATGGGGTTATTGGGGGAATTAGAGAATTAATGATACCTATATGTTCATGTTAAGAATACATAAAAACCTTTATCTCATGATCAAAATTTCAAAATTCACAAAAGTGGAGACTAAGTACCCATAAACCATCCCCCAGATTCAAAAATTTTGTTTTTCTTTCGGTACAGGGGATTTAACCCAGGGGTGCTTTACCACTGAGCCACATTCCCATACCTTTTTTATTTTTTATTTTGAGGCAGGGTCTCACTAAGTTGCTTAGGACCTCACTAAGTTGCTAAGGTTAGCCTTCAAAGATTTTTCTTTTTCTCCTTTGATACCTGTGATTGAATTCAGGGGCACTCAACCACTAAGCCACACCCCCAGCCCTATTTTGTATTTTATTTATTTTAATTTGTTTTTGCAGTTGTAAGTGGACAGCATGCCTTTATTTTTGTTTATTTTTATGTGGTGCTGAGGATCAAACCCAGTTCCTCACACGTGATAGGCAAGTGCTCTGCCACTGAGCCACATCCTCAGCCCTATTTTGTATTTTATTTAGAGACAGGGTCTCACTGAGTTGCTTAGGGCCTCACTTTTGCTGAGGCTGACTTTGAACTCATGATCCTCCTGCTTCAGCCTCCCTAGCTGCTGGGATTATAGGCATGCACCACCTTGCTCTGCTAGGATTGATCTTTTTTTTTTTTTTTAATATTTTTTTAGTTGTCAATGGACCTTTATTTATATGTGGTGCTGAGAATCGAATCCAGTGCCTCACACATGCTAGGCAAGCACTCTACCACTGAGCTACAACTCCAGCCCTGGGATTGATCTTAATAGGATAGTCAAGGAGATGTGGAGATGGAACTAGGTTTGGAGAAGGTAGGAGTAGAGTCACAGAGGAGGCAGCCATTATACAGAGACACTGAAATAGGAGAGAGCTCCAGCCAACAAGGAGAACATAGAAAACAGGGTGGAGGACTGAGGCGTATCTAGAGGTGGAACCAACTATACCCCCTTTCATTCTTTCTTTTCTTTTTATGTTTTTTAGAGTCAGGATCTCATTGCCCAGGCTGACCTCAAACTCCTGGGCTCAAGCCATCCTCCTGTTTTCACCTCCAAGTAGCTAAAACTGCACGTTTTTGTTTCTTTCAACAGCTATTTAGTGAGCTCCCAATCACTAAATTGGACGCAGGCACTATTGTAGGAGGTGGGCATTAGGGCAGTGGCCAAAGGACACAACATGCTTGCTCTCACAGAGTTCATGTCCAGGTGATGAGAAGTGAGAATATAACCAGAAGGGGCTGTTTTAGGTTTGGTCGGTTTTTGTTTTTTTTAGCAGTATTAAGGATGGAACCCAGGTCCTTGCACATGCTAAGCACATTGCCTACCGAGCTATGCCCCCAGCCAAGAAAAGTGTCTTAAAGAGAAGAGGGTGATAATGACAAATAAAGTAGGTGAACACAGTGCAGAATGAAGGGGAAAAGCACTTGTTCAGGCGCTCAGGGAATCATAAGGTACAGCATTTGCTGTTATAAGGATAGAAGTGAGCCAATTGTGGTGTTGCACACCTGTAATCTCAGTGGCTTGGGAGGCTGAGGCTGGAGGATCGCAAGTTTGAGACCAGCCTCAGCAACTGAACAAGACCTTAACAGGGAGACCCCGTCTCTAAATAAAAAATAAAAAGGGCTGGGGATGTGGTTCAGTGGTTAAGCACCCGTGGGTTCAATCCCTAGAAGATAAAAGCGAGCTAGTGGAAGCCTAAGCAGGGGGTGTATAGTAAGGAAACAGATGTACATTACTTGCTCTAGAAAACTAGTGGTAGAAATAGGAGGAAAGACCACAAATCCACAGGAGATCATGAAAATGGAGGCCTAAGATGGGGAAAATCAGGGTGTTAGGAAAAGAAAGTAGGGGAGACTGACACTGCCTCGGGAGGGAGCACCTATAGCAGATTTGTGCCTCCAAGGAGAGAGCATTCAGTGGCCTCATCTTTGGTTTCAGGGTCCTCTGCTTGAACTGTGGTGAGCAGACTCCCCGGGGGGTGCTGCAAGAGCGCATCAAACTTCTGAATCCCACTTGGAACGCCGAGGCCCAGGGCCTGGCGCCCGACGGGGACGTCTTTCTCTCGGAGGAGCAGGTGCAGAGCTTCCAGGTCCCCTCCTGTGTTCGATGTGGAGGTCTTCTGAAACCTGATGTTGTGTTCTTCGGGGACACAGTGAACCCTGACAAGGTTAATTTTGTGCACAGGCGTGTGAAAGAAGCCGACTCCCTGTTGGTGGTGGGATCGTCCTTACAGGTATGACTGGTCAGAGTGGTGACTGACCTTTGTTGGGCTGGGGCATCCTGGAGGCTCCTGTATTCGGTTGTCTTTTCTTGGATCTAGAGCTCTTACATGTGTCTTCTGCTGGGCAGGTGTACTCTGGTTACAGGTTTATCCTCACTGCCCGAGAGAAGAAGCTACCAATCGCCATACTGAACATCGGGCCCACACGGTCAGATAACCTGGCATGTCTGAAGCTGAATTCTCGTTGTGGAGAGTTGCTGCCTTTAATAGACCCACACTGACTCAGCCTGACGTTCCAGATCCAGAAACAGGGCTTTCCTTTGGATCCTGCTGCTGAAGGTACGTGCCTTCTCAGTTCCCATTTGACAGAGTACTGGGGTGTGCTCACAAGATACAGATATTTCTAGGCTTCTTTTTTTTTAAATATTTATTTTTTTTTGGATTTCAGCGGACACAACATCTTTATTTGTATGTGATGCTGAGGATCGAACCCAGCGCTGCGTGCATGCCAGGCGAGCACGCTACTGCTTGAGCCACATTCCCAGCCCCTCTAGGCTTCTTAACATATGGTCATTGGACCCTGGGGCACTTAAGCACTGAGCCATATCTCCAGCCCTTTTTTATATTTTATTTAGAGATAGGGTCTTGCTAAGTTGCTTGGGGTCTTACTAAGTTGATGAGGCTGATCTTGAACTCACAATCCTTCTGCCTCAGCTTCCCGGGCCATTATATAGGTATGTGCCACCATGCCTAGCAACATATGGTCATTTTTTTTTAACTTTTTCTTTTTCTTTTTTTTGTTGTAGGTGGATACAATACCTTTATTTTATTTTTATGTAGTGCTAAGGATTGAACCCAGTGCCTCACGTGTGCTAGGCCAGTTCTCTACCACTGAGTCACAACCCCAGCCCCCATATGGTCATTCTTAAGCTAGCTTCTTAAGACAGACTATGATTTTCAAATTCTAGCTATAAAACTATTTAAGACACTAGAATAGTTATGTGCCATTGATTCCCCCTGCTTTCTTTTGGGTGCTAGGGATTGAACCCAGGGCCTAACATGTTAACCAGGCACTCTGTCACTGATCTTCACCCTCAAGAATTTTTTTGTTGTTATTGTTGTAAATGGACACAATACCCTTATTTATTTATTTTTATTTTTTATGTGGTGCTGAGAATCGGACCCAGTGTCTCACACATGCTAGGCAAGCGCTCTGCCACCGAGCTACAACTCCAGCCCCCCAAATCCCATTTTTAAAATAACCATTTTATTGAGATATAACTCACATATCATAGAGTTTACCTTTTAAAATGTACAACTGAGTAGTTTTTATATTTTAAAAATTTTTCCATAAAATTTATTAAATTGAGAATTATACTTTCTATGAGGTAGATACTAAAACATCTGAAATTTAATTCACTAATATACAAAAACATCATAAAAGAAATACAAATTTATCCTAAAGTTTCTTGATACTTGTCTGAAGGTGACCGACAGCTTGGCCAAGTTAGTCATGCTGCCAGTTTACCTCCAAATGTTAATTTAGTGCATTAGAAATATCTTTTCTCTTGATATAAAAGAAAAAAAGACAATGAAATGTGAACCTGAGTTGTTTTTAGTACACTTGCAAAGTTATCCATTGATTACTACTCATTTCAGAACACTGGAACATTTTCATCATCCCCCCAAAAAAACCTTGAACCCATTAGCAGTCATCCCCATCACTGCTGCCACCACCCAGCCTCTGGGAACAATTAATCTTTCCGTATCTGCCTGTTCTGGATATTTCCTGTAGTGTGTGGCTTTCTGTGTGGTTTATCCACTTAACATAATGTATTCAAGATTCATCCATATTATAGTATATTTCAGTACTTCATTTTTTTCTTTTTTCATGGTACTGGGGATTAAGTTCTACCACTGAGCTACACCCATAGTCCATTGATTGATTGTGGTACTGGGGATTGTGAACTCAGTGCTTGCAAGGCAAATGCTGTACCACTGAGCTACATCCCCAGTTTTATTTTATTTTTTAAATTTTTGAGACAAGGTCTTGCCAAGTTGCCCATGGTAGCCTTGAATTTACAGTCCTCTTGCCTCAGTCTCCCTGAATAGCTGGGATTATAGGAATGTACTACCATGCTCAGTTTCTTTCTTTCTTTTTTACTTTTCTTTTCTTTCTTTCTTTTTTCTTTTCTTTCTTTCTTCTTTTCTTTTCTTTCTTTTTTCTTTTCTTTTCTTTTTTCTTTCTTTTCTTTTCTTTCTGGTAGGGGGATGCTGGAGATTGAATCCAGGGCCTCTTACATACTAATCAAGTGCTCTACCACTGAACTACATCCTCAAACCCCTTAATTCCTTTTTTTTTTTTTTTTAATATTTATTTATTTTTTTTAGTTTTCGGCGGACACAACATCTTTGTTTGTACGTGGTGTTGAGGATCGAACCCAGGCAGCACGCATGCCAGGCGAGCCCACTACCGCTTGAGCCACATCCCCAGCCCTCCCTTAATTCCTTTTTTATGGTTGAATAATATTTCATTTTATAGACACACAATTAATGACTTCATCAGTTAATGAACATTTGGTTGTTTCCACATTTTTTTGAGTGTGCTGGGAATCAAATCCAGGGTTTACATGTGCCAAGCAAGTGCTCCACCACTGAGCCAGACCCACAGCTGTCTACTTTTTGGCTATTATGAATAATGCTGTTGTAAACATTTGGGTACAAGTTTTTCTATGGAATTATATTTTCATTTATATATAGCTGGGAATGGAATTGATGGGTCTTCAAGGCTATTTCCCAAAATGTCTGTCCCATTTTTTACATTCCCGCCAGCAATACACAAGGGCTCCAATTTCTCCACATACTTGTCAACACTTATTGTTATGTATTTTGTGGTATAGCCATCTTTGTGGGTGTGAATTGGTATTTCTTTGTTTTTATTTGTATTTCCCTAATTTCAGCTAATGATGTTGAACATCTTTTCATGTGCTTACTTGTCACCTACATTTCTCATTTGGAGAAATATTTATTTAAATCCTTTGCCCATTTTTTTGGTGGGGGGTTTACTGAGGATTTTACCCAGGAGTGCTTTACCACTGAGCTGTGTCCCCAGTCCTATTTATTTATTTTTAATATTTTTTCTTAGTTATACATGGACACGATATCTTTATTTTATTTATTTACCTTTTATATGGTGCTGAGGATTGAACCCAGTGCCTCACATGCGCGAGGCAAGTGCTCTGCCACTGAGCCACAACCCCAGCTATTTATTTATTTTTTTGAGACAGGGTCTCACTCTGTTGCTTAAGGACTTGCTAATTTGCTAAGGCTGGCCTCAAACTTGGAATCTTCCTACCTCAATCTCCCAGTTTTTAACTTTAAGCAGTTAAGCAGTTTTTAACTTTTAGCAAAGTGTTACTTTTAAAAATGTTTTCAGTTGTAGATGGACACAATACCTTTGTTTTATTTTTATTTATTTATTTTTTGGTGCTGAGGATTGAACTCAGTGCCTCTGATGTGCCAGGCAAACACCCTAGTACTGAGCCACAACCCCAGCCCCAGTTTTTAACTTTTTTTTTTGTAGTTGCAGATGGACAGCATGCCTTTATTTTGTTTTTTAACTTCTTTGAACTGATACATAAAAGTGTAACAGTTGTACATAGTGCCATGTAGGTAGGCTGATGTTCACAATTATTCCCTCCACCCTATTCCCAGCTTATCTTGGCATTAACTTGTTCTATTTCTTTTTCAGATCCCTCAAGAGTCACCCCCTTTTCCTCCAACTAATTGAAGTAGAGGGCAGAAAACCAACTTTTCTCTGCCAGCCAATCTCTGAACTGGGCAGGTTTCAGAGCCAAGAAGTTAAAGTCTTTAGGCTGATAAGATTTGCCTCTGAAGAAAGTCTTTTCTAGAGAAGCAGCTGCTCTTGATGGGAAAACTGCATTCATTTCCTTTTTAATGTCACATGGCAGAAGAAATAGCCTGGGAAATATGTAGGCCACAGTAGTCTAAACCAGGGATCTCATTATATCAGGGTTACCATAAGGGTAGAAGGAAATGACTTAATTTATAATCCCTAATAGTTGTGTTTTTAACTGAGCCATCTGATACACACACACACACACACACACACACACTTTTTTAAATAAAATGAGAAATAGCATGAACTTTTTATTAAAGAATAAAGTAATAATTTTTAATAGTACACCAGGTGTGTGAGCTGTACATTTATTTATTTTAATCAGCTAAAATAAGAATGTGGCTTTATGACAGTTCTCCAGGATTGTGACTTGATGTCATCTGTCAGACTGGGACACCTGCTTTGAATCTGGTTTTTAGAGAACACAGTTAATTCCCAAGTGGGCTCTTAAGTTAATTTGTTTCTGCTGAGGAAAGCGGGAAGTCTTGTTTGATTACTGCATTAGCCAAAAGAATCAGTGTACCCTGAAAAGTAAGGCAGATGAAAGAATCACAGCCTATTCCAGATATCCTTTTGTCTAAAATTTAGGCGGGCAATACATGCTCATCCTTCACCTGCCTAGGAAGTAATTTTAGTTCACTGGGACAGCCCAAGATCTTGAAAACAGAGTTCTTTTCATATGCACATATGGGTTTGTAAGATTGTAAATCTCATTCTGGTTCATTTGCAGAACCTAAGGTGCTTTGAACCAGATTTCCTTAGTTACTAAAAGTCAGTACTAACTAACGTATTAAAATCTGGGTCTTCTGAGTCTCAAACCATTCTCAACCACAAATCTCATACAATTATTAACAGACACTATTAAGGTACTAAGGATGGAAGATATTACTTCTTTTTTAAATTTTTAAAAATACTTCTTTTAGTTGTAGATAAACACAATACTTTATTTAGTTTTATGAGGTGCTGAGGATTGAACCCAGTGCCTCACACTCTAGGCAAGCACTCTGCCACTGAGCCACAACCCCAGCCCCCATAGATATCACTTCTTGCTCACAAGTAGCTTGCAGAAAACGTGCTGTTCCTCCAAACACCACCTTATTCTCTAACAGAAAAAATAGTACACACAATGACAGAATTAGAGAAAATTTCATCCTTCCCTCTCATTTTATTATTTTTATTCATTTATTGGAAGTCCTAGGGATGGAACCCAGGGCCTCACACATGCTAGGCAAACGTTCTATCACTATTTTTGAAGAAACAAAGATTGGATTTACCTAAGGCCATACTATATAGTTTTAGAGCCAGACCAGAATCTATGTAGACTTTCCATCTTTTTTAAAAATATTTTTAAGTTATCAATGGATCTTTATTTTATTTACTTATATGTGGTGCTGAGAATCGGACCCAGTGCCTTGCACATGCTAGGCAGGTGCTCTACATCTCCACCACCCCAGCCCCTCCATCTTTTTTCCTTTGTTTCCTTCGTTGAACCTTGTGGCACTTGAGGCAGGGTCTTGCTAAATTGACCAGGCTGGACTCAGTTTTTTTGTTTGTTTTCTTTTTGTACTGGGGATTGAAACCAGGGGTGCTTAACCGCTACTGAACCACATCACCAGCCCTGCCCTTTTTTTAGACAGGGTCTCACTAAGTTGCTAAAGCTGGTTTTAAACTCATGACCCTCCTGTCTCAGCTTCTCTAGCCACTGGGATTACAAGTATCCAGCTTAGTTTTTTTTTTTTTTTTAAATGATGTTTCTCATTTATTTGCAGATTATGGTTAGATGTTGGCAGATTTATGATTGGCAAAAAATTGCAGTAATAGCTGGCCCCTTAAATTTTATGTGACAAAGCAGATAAACTCTATCCACTTCATGAAGGAAAAACTTAAGCCAATCCAAGAAAACAGATGCCCCCCACCTGCCTTCACTTATTTTTTTAAAATTATTTTTTGTTATAGATGGACACAATATCTTTATTTTTTTTTTATTTTTATGTGGTGCTGAGGATCAAATCCAGTGCCTTACATGCCACTGAGCCACAACCCCAGCCCTCCCCCTTCACTTATTAGAAAAGGAATATAGCTGGACACAGTGGTATACACCTCTAATCCAAGCTATTTAGGAAGCAGAGGCAGGAGGATAGCAAGTCAAGGTCAATCTCAGCAACTTAGCCAGGCTCTGTCTCAAAATACAAATTTTAAAAGGGCTGGGGCTGCATCTGTGGTAAAACACCCTTGGGCTTAATCCCCAGTACTCTGCCCCCCACCTCCAATAAAAGGAATGTAGCACAGACTCGAAATTCTTTTTTTTTTTGAGAATTTTAATATTTATTTATTTTTTTTTAAGTTTTCAGCTGACACAACATCTTTGTTTGTATGTAGTGCTGAGGATCAAACCCGGGCCGCACCCATGCCAGGGGAGTGCGCTACCGCTTGAGCCACATCCCCAGCCCTCAAAATTCTTAAGAATCCATAGATGTGGATTCCAGTCTTGCTACTTAGTAGCTGGATGAACTTGGGTAAATTATTCTACCTGATCTTCAGGCTCTTTATAATTCAGAAAGCTACCTCATTGGGTTGTTGAGTTTGAGGCACATAGTACAATGCCTGGTACATAAGAAAAAAGAGATGCACCATTATCATCAAGAAGTGGGTAGCATGGTGCGAGAGGAAACCAACACATCTGCTTGAACCTTTGTCCCTACTGAGTATTCCTTTAACTAGACTTCTCAATGATCTTCACCAGAGCCTCATTTTCTTTCTGTGTACCTGCTCGTCTTTTGCCAAAAATTACAAAAATGACTTGATGTAATAAAGCCATCCTAAAGAAAATAAAAGTGCCAAGCACAGTGGTGCACAGACAATTCCAGCTACTTAGGAGGCTGAGTCAAGAGGATTACGAGTTCAAAGCCAGCCTCTGAAACTTAGTGTCTAAAAATCAAAAACCAGAAACGTGATGGGATGTAGCTCAGAGGTCTGAATTCAATCTCCAGCACCACACAAAAGAAAAAAGAAAAAAAAAAAAGGAAATCCTTTTATGTATTCTTCCCTCTCCCCTTAGGAAAATATTTAACATGTACTATACAACAAGCACTGTGGGAAACACTAAAACGCACTTGCTCACTTGAATCCCACAGCTCTATTACATAGGATATGGGCAAAGTTAAGGATCTTCAAAGTTGAGGATCCGGAAGTTTGAATATCTTAGGTAACTTGCCCAACGTCACCACGGGTGATCAGGCCAGTAATCAAACTCTTCAATACTGTAGAAATACTTAGCAACAGAGACTGGATAAGGAAAAGGGGCAGAGTTCAAGAAACTTCCAGAAGTGTTCCAGCTGGGTCCTGGAAGATGAACAGGCTTTCACCAAGCGGGGAAAAGGAAAGCCTTCCAAACCAAGGAAACAACAAAGACATGGAGGTTCTACCAGCAAACCCCTTCCCTGTTCTTCTTTCCTCTTCTAGGTAGGGGTGGAGAATAAGCGTGGACTTGGGATCCAGAGGCCCTTGGTTCACCCAACACCCACTCGCCTCTCTGCTTGGCTAAGCCTCCTCTGCACGCCCGTGGGCTCCCCAGCACCTCACTTTTCCAACCCCCTCATCCTTCCCTGGAATAAGAACACTGAAGGGATTGGCTACCGGAAACTGGCGGCGGACGGTGGGCGATGCGGCAAAGGGCGAGCACAGCAGCAAAACTGGCTCCTTTGTCACATCCACGTGAGGTCGCCTACTTTTCAAGCGCCCATCCTATCTAATAGCGGATTCCAGCTCAGGAAAACAGTATTGACGAGCTCCAGAAAGATGGGTGCGGAGGTACCACCACCTCAAGCGGACACCGACGGCTGCCAACGTCCCACTGCGCCTGCGCGGGTTCTGGCCAGGGGCGTGGCCTGAGCTTGGGAGCCCAAGGGCCGGGCCGCCGTTAACCAATAGAAAAGAGAGTCTGCGAGTCACATGCTCATACTCTATCCAATCACACATCCTACTCCGGAATCCTTCCGCCTTGGACTAGAGACTGGAGATTGACAGGGTTGGATGTGCAGGGCCGTGTGAGGTGGAAGGTAAATACTGCCACGTGGGTTTTTTTTCCCCTTTGTGGCAAAAGTTGAGGCTACACTGTACTTAGTGGAACGGTTATTTAATGAGTTTATGTCGTGTTTTGGGCACTGTGAAGGTACTGTGGCTTCTAAAATGTAATCCTGCCTTCAAATTGCGCATTGTAGTTTATATATTTATTGTTTAGACCATCATAGGCTTTGTATTAGAGTTTCCTATATCCTATTTTCCTCAAAGAGCGCTCAGCAGATGCTCATTAAAAGATGTTAAAGAGCCGAGCACGGTGGCGCATTCCTGTAATCCTAGGGGCTAGGAGGCTGAGGCAGGAGGATCGCAAATACAGAGCCAGCCCCAACAACTTTGCAAGGCCCAAAAGGGCTGGGGATGTAGCTCAGTGGTTAAGTGCCCCTGAGTTCAATCCCAATCCCCGGTACAAAACAAAACAAAACAATTTAAAGAGCCGGGGCATGGGGCAAATCTGTAATCCCAGCTACTTGGATGCAGAGATTGGAGAATTATAACTTCCAGGGCATCCACCGGGAAATTTAGCAAAAGCCTGTCTCAAATTTTTAAAAATAAAAAACGGGCTCAGTGCCCCATATGGAGGCGACCCTGGATTCAATCTCCAGTACCTAAAAAAAAAAAAAAAAAAAAAGCTAAAAGAAATTTACTCTCACCCAACCCTTGAGGTAATGGGAAATAGGTAGAATTTTATGTTAGGGTATTTTTTAGGGCCCAACTATAGCATGTGTGACTCCGTTTTGTTTGTCATCTGAAAAAAAAAAAAGTGTGGGAGGGGGCAATAATCTCCTAAAAGCCCACATTTTGTTACATCTAAACAGGAGCTTGTAGTTTCTTTCCATTGAAAAAAGATGTTATGGCCTTTACAATTCATTAAATGTTAAGACCAGCTCTCATTTAATTTTGTATCCCTTTGAGGTTGGCAAGGTAGCTCAGTGGCAGAGAAAGCAAGACACCCTGGGTTTGATCCCCAGCACTGCAAAACAAACAGAAAAGTTATTTTTTCATCCCTCACAGTCCTACCATATTACAGTATTCAAAAAGGGCCATCCAATTGATGCTTGTTGAATTTGAGTTTGAAAACAGTCCTATTCTTGATGACTAAAAACACTCCATTTAGCATTCAGCAGTCATTTGCACAAGTTCACAGTCTGGTGGCACTTTC